CCGTCGGTCGTTCTCCAGGCTCGACACTCCAACACCTCTTCATCAAGTCCCAGACTTGAAGGCAGTCGCTAAGGCGGGATGCTCCGTCAACTTGATTGAGAGGACCCTCGAAAATCTTGCAGATAATAGCATAATCCTTATCGGTTCCCTCATAGGGCATATTCCCCGTCATGATCTTCAAATCCAATATGTTACCATAGGGCAAAAAAGCACGCTTACAAGGGGTACGGACCTCCCAAACAAGCCAAGCCCAAGCGTAGATGTCGCTCGTCGGTGCACGTGGTGCGCCATTGATGATTTCTGGACTATTCCATCGAATAGACCCCTTAGGACCTGTGGACGTCTTTAACTTTTTGAAGCTGTTATCTTCATGGAGTATTGCAAGACCAAAGTCGCACAGACGGGCTTTGAAATTGGCGCTAACTAGAACGTTGTTCTTGAAAGGCAACGCAATCAGGGATCCGAGACCCGTTCGAGAGTGCCATACCTTACCGATTTGATGTCGCCATGGCAAACTGGTGGGACCAGTTGGTGAAGAAAGCTCAATGCGTCGATCGTATCGTATATCTAGGATGAGGTGATTGGCGGGCTGTTGCGACAACGATGATACTCTCGTGCGACGCACCAATGATAGCTTTTCGGGCACTTCCAGGTCGTGCTCTGCAATAAAATCGCTAACATTCCCATTTGGCTCCCATGGTGAAAGTAGCCATGCTTCCGATTGCTTCAAGTCGGCGTAAAAGCCGAGGAACTTGGCGATCCCTGGATGCTCCTCGAGGCGCGACCACACCAACATCTCCCTCGTGAACGCCTGACACAGACTAATTCAGCCGCCCGAAGGTAATGAGTAGTGACAGACCTACTCGTTTCACCCTGGCCATACTGTACATCTTTGATATCTTGATCTGTTTGACGGCCACTAACTGCGGGGGCCCATACCAACGTGAGGCGAGCCAAGCCGGGAGGTAGGCGGACTGATGCAGCTCCGCGCATAGAACGATACCAAACCCCCCTTCAGGCGGGTCCTTCTGCTCGACGAAGACTATTTTCCGGCGGCCGACGTGGAACTTTTGGAGTTTTTCGTACTCCTCGTCCTGGATGGGACACATCAACAGAAAGATTCTAATTTGGGCCAAATTGGCGCTTACCACCGCTTTTATGCGTTCGCTGGCACCGATCTGTTCCACCGTATCTGTCCCGGGCATCTCGTTGGACAGTTATGTCTGGGGCCTGGTGTCGGCCGGTGGGGAGGATCGGGGGGAAGGTGGTTGCACTTGTCGAGGAATGAGGCCTGGCCAGGCCTATTGGCGCTTATGCGGCGCCGTTTGTCGTAATCGCCGACTACCGGCGATGGGCCAATGACCATCACCAAGCTCGATCGCGAGCTAGAAAATCCGTCAAATTTGGACTAAACTGAGTGAATGTTACCGAGCGCATCGAGACGGAATGGGAACGAATTGATGCCAAAAGGCGAGGGCTTGATGTTCGCGTGACGGGTCTCGCTTGTTAACGACCATAATGTATCAGAGCGATGGGGAAGGCAGAGCAAGCTAACACAAATTCCAACTTTCTTTCACGTCGAAGCATGCCATTTACAGACAAGAGCATTGAAAACAGAAGCAATAAGAAAAAGAAACCTCGACCTACTAATATATAGTCAAAATGTCCGTAATCGGCGTCTCCCCCCTCCCGAGTTCTACCGGATAAGATCTTCTCTCCCAAGATAATCGACGATCCCTTCTTTCTTCTCGGTTGACTTTGCTTTTGGAAAGGCGTGCCAGAATCGCAAAGTCTCATCGCCGGCCCCGGTAACGATGGTCTCCCCATCTGGAGACATCGCGAGGTAGAGTACACGGCATGTATGTCCGGCTAGTGTAGCTGTGGTGTCCATAGAGGGATAGCGCCAGATGCAAACCTTGGTCCGGATCTAAGGATCAGTCGGAACTTTGCCGAGTAACAGAACCTGACCAACCTGATGCTGAGCTTTTGTTGATGAGTACCCATGAGTGGAAACGATTTCGTTGGTAGTTTTGCTCCACGTGAGATTGCAGACCTGGGCGGAAGTTAGCAAATGTGTCTGGGATAAGTCAAGTCGTGATAGACAGCATACCTGAGAGCCGGTATCCAACCAGTTGACCAAAACGCCGTTCGCGACATTCCACGTTCGAATGGTCTTGTCCTGAGTCCCTCCTCCGCTTGCCAAAAGGCCCGTAGCGTGAGGGCTCCAAGCGATGGCCTTGACCGCTGCCTGGTGATCATGGAACTTCCACAACGGTTGACAGTCGTCGATGTTGCTTCCGCTTTCCATCATCGTCGGCGCCGTTGCTGTCGACGCCGCGGAGGTTGTTGAGGTGGTTCTCGACCTCCGCCCAGCACCCCTTCCCCCACCGCCTGTCCACGAGGCATCCCAGACCAGCAACTTGTTGTCGTTCCCACCGCTTGCCAGGTGAGTGCCTTCGGCATTCCACTTTAAGCCGCAAATTTCTTGCCGGTGACCCGTTAGCCGTCGATAACACTCCTCTGGCGCCCGAAGGTCACGATGGACGATAGTCCGGTCTCGTGATCCTGACGTGAGCGTTGCAGTGGTGTTCCCGGTGGACTGGAAGCCGGCGTTGAGGGGTAACGAGGAAGAAAAGGACCAAGCGAGAGCGCCGACGCGGCTAGAGTGATTCTCATACGTTCGAACAACTCGAACGGCTTCCGTGTCGTAGATATGAATCTTGCCTTGATGAGTACCAACCGCAAGGGTTGCACCCTGAGAACCAGATCGTTTTAGTCGTCGTTGTAATAGCCGAAGAGGTCACTGCAAGCTTACATTTCGTTCCCATGCCACTCCGGAGACATTGTCACCTTGAAGGTCGCAAAGCTTGATGACCTTCGAGGTATTTGCTGACCAGAGGTATACGCAAGACGCCAGGCCGACGGCGAGAACATTGGTGGAGGACCAGTCCACTAAATTGAGATAAAAGTCATCCTGAAGGACGATAGATCCGGTCATTAAGCATGACAAAGGAACGACAACTAGGAAACCGCACCATCAAGTCAGGCGCGTCCAGCACCTTGAACGGCGTTTTGGCGACGGGCCGTATAGAACGCCTTGATGATAGTAGTACATCTTGAGTGCTCTCACGTATAGGAGACGTGTTGTAGACCTCGTGGCGAGGACTTTCAAGCCCTCTTGACGCATTCAAGGGAACTCCTTCGTTGCCGAACACCTGGCCCTGGCGACTCCGACTGCTCGGGCTATCGAAATTCAATATCCTTTTGCGGCTTGGCGTTTGCGGCGGTCGATGGGGCGAAGATGCAGTGTGATGAACTTGGTGCTGATGTGGCGAGGAGGTGCTAACGATGGTCGTGCCTCCGCTGAGGCTGTTGAGTGAAGACGACGAGGCAGAATGGCGTACAGGCGAGCGGACTGGTGAAGAAAGGTAAGAATGTGACGTCGAAGATGATGAGGTGGATGCGGCGGGGAAAAGTTCGTTAGACAAGGCCTCGCTGAACGCATGGTTTGCTTGCTCTGAAGAACGAGCCAGTCAGAATACACCGGGAAAGGCGAACCATAATCTGGTCAGCGAACCTGTCTGGGCGTCCATGTCGATGGGCATCGTCCTTTTCACGGATTTAGAAGGTGTCGATGGGCCATTGAAGGCGGACCCTAATCCTCCATTGGCAACGGGATCGTCCAGGAGGTCGTAAGCGGTAGAAGACGCGGAGGGTATAAACCTAGAGAGTGTAGCGGTCAGGTTTGTTATTAGAGCCTTGAGGGAGAAGAAATCGGAAGAAAGCCCAGGACACGGCAGTCAAGATGGTGTAAGGAGCGTTAGTCGACGCTTCAGTGCCACGCCGAAACCGCCAAGACATTCCAAGGTGTCGTCCCCATCCCTTCTACTATGGAAGTGGGATCGATGGAAGAGGGGGCGCAGGAGGAAGCGACGCTCGCTGTTATACAAGCTGGCGAAGAGGGCGATGCAAGGAATGCCAACATACCGATCTGCCGACGCGCTGTTGCCCGTCCGTTTACGTTTTCTTGGACTCGACAATGGGGCCGTAGTACCCGAAAACGCTGGCCCGAGGAGTGATGGGGTTGGTGAAGCTCTTGAGGACGAAGAGGCGCCGGAAGTAAGGGTTGCTGAATCGCTGTTGTTTGTGGATGGCGTCGGAGCCGTGCTGGTAGTTGGATGGGCGTCAGCTGCCGAAGCAAAGAGCCGACGAGCTGGGCTTGGAAAAGACGACGGGTCGATAAATGGATTATCGGGGTCGTCCTTGGAAGGAGCGAGCAACGACCTTTGAGGTGTGCTTGGCTGAGCAGCGCGTCGAAGACGGTGCTTGAATTGGCTGTTCATGTTGAAGGTCTTTCACTAGAAGTATAGAGAACTGGAATGCTGAGATAAATGATTTGATGCAAAACAAAATGCCGTTCGAGACGCGTCCGTGATTAGACTCTGCTGGGAGCGAGTATGGCAAGAGATGGTCGGTGGTGGGAGGAGTTCTGGTTTGTTAGTCGAAATCCGAACTTGGACTGTTCCTCCGCGTTCCTCCCTTGAGCGGTGCCTCTCCTCTAGTATCATCACCCCCAACCACCACAGAGCGCGAAACACTTCCCCATGCATGCAATGTCGCACTTCTCTAGATGTCTTGTGCCGCGAAGCGACCGAGGATTTCATAGCGCTGTTCGACGAACTCCCTGCTCAGTCGACGCTTGCGAAAACTCGCTCCCAGCGGTGTTGGCCGTGATGGCTCTATGTTCTCCCAGTATGAACAGCACTCCCAAATTCGAATTGAAAGCTGCCTTCTTACAGCACCAGGGACCCGCGAGCCGGCATCTGGGTTGATGAAGAAGAGTGAAAGACATTCAAAGCTCCACCCTCTCCCTCCTTCTCCTTTCAGTCGGATGCGCATCAGCGACTGACGCTGCTGACGGGGGCTTCAACTCGTGTGTTCCCTAGTAACAAGCCCTACGAGCGTTGGAAATCAATCCACCGAAAAGAAAAATATAGAACTTCCCGCAAGCCGGGTTGAACGACTGACCTCCCCATCACTTCCATGTACAAGTGGGACGCGCTACCACTGCGCCATACGGGAGAAGTGTTGCTCGAATTCTGCTGTAATTCCTTGTCAGGTGCTTTTGTTTTATGGCACGTCCACCGCATTCCGTTGTTCGGTCCCTCCATAGCCTCGTCTTCCTCAAAGCATATCACGCCGCAAGGTCAAACCCGCTCCAGCACGGACATTTGTGGTATTAAGAAGTATTTTTACATTTTATACTGATGTACGGGTTGCCCAAGCATAACGGAATAGCTTAAAAACTCGAGGTTCTTGAGCCTCGATTTCTCGTCGAGATCCCTGTTGGACCTCGTTTCAGCCGCCGCAACTCTCAAACGTACAAGCCCGAAGTGCAACCCACCGTGACCCATTCCTTGACTAACTTCGGTTCATATCCCGCCTGGATAAGCATTTTTTCGCTAATATCCATGATCCCTAACGTGTTTTCTCGCGTCAAGGCGCCAATTGCCCGTTCGGAACGTTCTCCGTCTTTGACGTCTCTAAGTTAACACCCGATCGCCGTAAAGCCCGGAACGGAAATGTCTTACCTTCCATCCAAGGACCTAGAGGGTTGTAACAGTCGCGCATTCCAAAACCTTCATATCTCGGGTCGCCATTGATCCAATCCGGCCATGCCCAGAGAGCATCCGTCGCTCGTCCTTGCTTACTATCACCAGAAGTCTTAATGCCACAAGGATTCCGGAAATGTAAAGCTCACTATACCTGAACATCTCGCGTAAAGCGCTGAACAAGCACCCCAGCGCAGATGGTTTCCTCCCATCCTCGGATGCTGCAGATGGAAGTAGTTTCTTTTCCTCGTCGTACGCGTACATCCCGACACTCGCAAGTAGTAAAACGCCCCCTGGCCTCAGCACTTCAGAAGCATTGTCGATCACTTGCTTGTAGTCATGGATCCCATTGTCGAGAGCCCGAATGTGGATAATGTCGAATTTCTGTGGACCGACCGTAGTCAGGCAAAAATCTGGATGATAACCGGCAACAGATAATAACCTGCCCAAGGATTCTTAAACTTTCGAGTGAAGTGGCATCCCGAACCTCAAAGCTGCAATTAGACGGTGTCTCGCTGGTTCGCGGAGGTCAGTTGTACCACTTCCGCAGCTTACATAGGCCACCAACGTACGTCATGATTGGAACAGGATTGAGATCGATTCCAACAACCTGAACTCGGGGGAATTTTTGCGCGACCTCCCGGGCCCTGTTTAGTTATAATTATAATCATCAGCATCCGTCATGCGAGCTCAGGTGGACTGCCGCCATGTTACCAAATCCCCGAACCAGTTCCGACGTCGAGTACGTAAGGCGTTGAGCCATTCTTCCTATTGATGAGGGCTCTCTCGACAAGGTCTGAGGCAGGATACAAGCCCCCGAGACTAAGAAGGTGCATCTGATGCAATCCATCCGCGTGGGTAGGCGGGACCGGGATAGGAGGGGGGGCTGCAGCGAAGGGCTGGACGGCCTGAGCCTATAGAGAGTATTAGTATCTTGACTCGTAGCGGTCTATTGGAGCATTACGCGTGTGATAACCAGTGCTATTTTTTTTTCAATTAGTCGGCATGGTGGTATCTGGAATAAGGGATGCAGAGAACACGTACTTTCAGAGGGCATGTTCTGGAGAAGGCTCGGAGGAGACAGATACCGTAGGATGAGTCGTCTCTCTGTATATATACTGGACTGGGGATCAAAACTATATTCATTTCGATAAGATCACAGGCTAGAGCTCCGGAATCGGTGAATTAAACTTGGTGACAAGAAGAACAAGTCATCACACCCATCGGAGGAACCCGTCGGCATACAATGTCCTGCCGTATCTGTGGATTACAGCGCTAGCCTGGGGTTCCAATGTTGCCGACTTCCGCTCCTCCGTGTCCTTCGGGTTTCAGGGACAACAATAGCCCAGCTGCTTTATCTGGTGAACCACGCATGCTTAACAGATCTGGGATTTGCCCGATTCGACGTTTAATCAGAAATAATGAATTATTTTCCCTTTGGGCGGCATCTGAGATATCTTCTCACTCGTTTGCGGACGTGCCGATTGATCAAGTCGTCACATCCACCGCCTTCCACGGCATCTCTGACCTGGTAGCCGAAACGTACCGATACATCAGGTAGGTCTTCGGATTCATGTCTCGTAGCTCCTGCTTTGCTTTCTTTATAACAGCAGTTTAAGCCAAAGACCTGAGAAACTCGAACCTGAATGCAGGTTCTTACCTCAAGCAAGCGTTGAATAATTACTTCATCGTAATTCCCTTGGATGAGGTGATCTGCCGTATAGTCTAACGCTATCATGATGTTTTTCCCGACGCACTCTCCAATCTCCTGCCATGGCATGCCATCCGAATCTATATATACAAAGTTCCGCTTAGCGGGATTCGAAATGTTTAAAAGTTGGTTTACATACCCGGCTTCCATGGTCCAATGGGGCAATAGACATCTGTGACAGAAACATCTTTGTAGAGCGGATTCGTCTGAAGCCAACCTTCCCATCGACGAAAAGCGTCAACCTCCCGACCTTGATTTCTGAGGAGGTATGTCAGCGTACGCAATGCCGGCAAAAAACGATCCGATAAGCCATACATCATCAAAGTTTGAAAGTAGTGGTACAGACAGCCGAGCGCAGTCCAACGAGGGTCGTTTTCTTCGACGTATGGCAAGAGTTCTTTGTCCGTTCCATATACCCACATCCCTACACTGCCAAGTAGCAGGACGCCCCCAGGTGGCAGTAGCTGGGCAAAATTTGTCAACGATTGACGCTGGTTGCGCAAACCGTTCTCGACAGCCCTAACGTGCACCACGTCGAAGCCCTACGGACCCGGTCAGTGGGGGCGGCAGTAGTCAAGGAGATAGCTTACTTCGGCCAGATCACCAAAGCTTTTACTAGCATCTCTCACTTCGAATTTGCAGTTCGGTGGTTTCTCCCTATTGCACGGAACATCAAGTCAACCTCTATCCGCAATTAATTGCCGACACCCACGTGGATATCTTAACCGGATTCAGATCAATCCCTAATACTTGGGCATTAGGGAATTCCCGAGCCATATCCTCGGCCCTATGTGTAACGCTATTCAAACCCTGTATTTTCCGATAGGTATGTGGTGCGTACCAGTTTCCGGCCCCAGTACCAACATCGAGGATGGCTGGCTGGCGCCCGTCCGCCCGCGACTGCAGGGCCTGCTGAACCTTGTCAGCCGGTGTATAGAGCCCGCGCAGACATAATGTGAGGCATTTGTGCCTTGCGTCCAAACGAGCCCGTTCGGTGGCGTTAGATGCGACTGGAAGACTGTAAACGGCTTGAAGGTTTGATTGACCGAGCACTTGGTTTATCAAAATCCAAGGTCAGCGAGGCGGTCGGATAAGGCGACCGGCAACAGACCTGAGTTCTCCATGACTTGAGGGTGCTCGTCGAAAAGATTGTTTAGAGAGTGATTGACTTTTATATCTGCTGGAATTTCATCATGAGGGTCTGACAATCCGGCAAAACGCGTGCGTGATGAAAGGGGCGGTTTCATCTCATTGCCTCCGGCCTTTTCCTGAAAGCCGAAGCAGGGCGATGCGCCGAGGAACAACGCAATCAACGCCAGATTCTGATGTCGAGACATGGAAACGTGGTTAGTTCAGCGGGTATTCCCGATCCGGATAGAGTGGAGGGGGCCCCACTGCATGGATAAGTGGTCGGTCTGATGAAATAATTTACCGATAGACAAAACAGATTAAATCTAAAACACGCGTATCATGAGCGCTGCTCCAAGTCGCCTTCGAACCTTAGGCAATCAAGCTCTCGAGCCACCATTCACGCCACGGATCTCTTCCCTCAGATTTTCCACAGCCTGCAGTAGCTGGTCGAGCTGCGCGCTTAGTATCTACAAGCATGAAACTGTCAGTCGCGCCACTGGAACCGTCATATTCCTTCCGATACCTGTTGGTTCTCGGCGAGTTTGAGATTGGAGATTCCTGTCCTGTCCGCAGCGGCGTCGCTAGCCGCTCGCCGTCTTCTGTGGATGCCGGTGATCGACGAAAAGGCACCAACGTGCCCGAAGTCAGGTGTCTCGCTGATTCCCCCGGATGTCCGTGTCGAGGAACCTTGAGGTATCGTGATTGGTGCTGGTCGTGAGGTAGGCGGGGGAGGATAAGAAGTACTTGAAGAAGGCACCCTCGAGGCTTCTTCAGCCGAAAAGATCACATCCCGACTGCGTCGCACAGGACCTCCGATTGGGGTATCTTGAGAAGTTTCCAAAGCTATTGCCACTTCTTCCTCTTGATCGTGCTGGCGGTGGCGATTGGTGGATTCTTGACCATCAGAAGATAGGCGAAGCATCTAGAACCCAATCACAATTTACTCTGCGGGTTGACGTCACAGAGTCTAACGTGTACACGAACCTTTGTGCCTCCCATGCCCTCCCACACAACAGAAAACTCGCGTCCGAGCACAAAACTCGGAAGTGCGATTAGAATAAGACCAAACATAAGCAGTGGCACAGCGATGAGACGGCCAAGAAATGAGCGAGGGATGATTTCACCGTAGCCCACGGTCGTAATGGCTAAGGTCTTTATTAGGACCGAGCGGCTCTTAGCAACGAAACGACTCACTGACGAGAACAAACCATGCGGCCGCCGGGATGGACTGAAAATATATGAGCGCCTTATAATAGCCAAGGCATCATCGGCATCTCTTACCTCAAATTGTGATGGATCTCCGTCCGAGTTGACAAATGTTCCAAGCGTGTCATCCCACGTGCCGCGTTCGGCGAAGTATCTTATACCAAAACGTCACCAGTTAGATTTGTTGAGATTCAGGCGGAATCACACTCACAGAAGGGTGCTGAACACAACGAGAGCCATCCCAACGAAGAACGCCAATGCGAATAGGGCCTCTTTTGACCGCATGACTGCAATGTACATCACTTCGATTGTCCTGAGAGAGCGCGTTACGACGGAGGATTGTCCCATAATAACACGTGCTCTTACAGGAGAATGGTATTGCTATAGCGGAACGGCCTGAACACGCGGAGTAGCCGGAAGGT